TTGTGTTAACAATGAATGTCGTACGACTCTGAAATAATTTCCAGATTATGTAAATTGTATTTCACCTCTTAGGACAGTGATGGTATCACTTCATCAAAGAAAGTCTTCTAAAATTCACAACGTTTTCTCAAAGTTAAACACTACAACGGGATGGGAAGAAACAGTATCTTGGGAGAAGACAACTGTTGGTTTATAGCCTGTTTACAGTTCAGTTTTGTTTTTGATATGGAGTACTTTTATGAAATTTATTTACTTGAGAGAGCTTGAGCAGGAGGGGCAGAAGGAGAGGGAGAGAGAATCTCAAGCAGACTCCATGTCGAGCATAGAGCTGGACACCAGGCCGCATCCCACAACCCCGAGATCATGACCTGAGCCAAAATCTAGTCGGATGGTTAACCAGCTGAGCCACCCCGGCGCCCCTGGAGTATTTTGCATTAAGCAGTCATGTTCTGTTTATAAGTTCTAACTTTAGAAGTTGTGATATATTGTGTTTAAGTCCTGAACTCAGCATTACTGCTGAGTTGCAGTGTTGAAGAAAGTTACGGTTGCTTAAAGAGTGAAATAGAAATCAAATCCGTCTCCCTGCTGCACTTGAGTTTTCAAAGCTCTGGGGGGGTAGTGCAGAAAGGCAAATCAGCACACTTGCAGAGTGAATAGTAACCTCATTCTCATTAGGACGGACATCACTGTGTACTGACTTCCTACAGAATACTATCGGTTTTCATTACGGAGGACATGATCGTAACAGAGAGGCTGAAGTACAGATGATAAGTCACAAGCACAGAGGGCTTGTATAGTGAATGGGTGAAAGCGTAATACAGGGAGAAGTGGTGGTGATGGCTGTGGAACTGAAGTAGGGTTATTACTCTGGCCTCCCCAAAACAATGTGCTGTGTAGTGCCCTCAGAGTAGGCCAGGTGATTTCAAATAAAAGGAGCAAGAGATACTTCGGAAATAACCCCAAAGCCAAAATGTTCTTTGTGTAGAAGTTTAGCTGGTGACTTCTTATTACACATGACTTATATACAGTGATCAGAGATGCCTTCTCCATAGTGAGGTATTGCAAGGTGTCAGGCAAGCCACTGGTAATGCCCCAGGTGCCCCATCCCTTACATTCCACCTTCAAGGCCACCCCTCTGGTGGAACTGCCCTTTTCTCACTGGATCAACAATCTCTGGCTTTTTCTTTTGCCTCATTTGCTTAGCCCTTCCTGCTACACTTGATAGCACTGCCCACCATATCTGGAAATGCTACCTCCTTTGTCCTGTTAATTCTCTGTGAACAGTCCTTCATTTCCACTGCTGATGCCTTTTCCTCTCCCCTAACCCTTGTCTTCACATACTTTATACTTTTCAGTCTCTAGACTCAATTCAAGGTGAACCATTCCCCAACCTTTGAAGCCTATTTCAGAAATTTTTGTTTTGATGTCTGTCACTTCTCACTCAGTAAATAAAGTGAACTCCTATCTAGGTGAACGCAGAGAGTAGTCATCTGTTGGAATGGCCCAGTGAGGTGTAGGTGTCTGGAATGTCTGTAGCCCAGAGACGACTAAAAGAGTAGCAAGAGAATAAGGCTTGGGAAGGTAGGCAGAGCAGATCAATGGATTTAAATGTTATATGTTACACTTTGAACTTTTATGTTTTCAGGAAGAGATGCCATTGAAGAACTTATTTTTAAAAGATTTTTATTTGAGGAAGAGCACAACCGGGGGGGAGAGGCAGAGGGAGAGAGAAAGGGAGAAGCAGACCCTCTGCTGAGCAGGGAGCCCAATGCAGGGCTCAGTCCCAGGTCCCTGGGATCATGACCTGAGCTCAAGGCAGACACTTAACCCGCTGAGCCACCCAGGCGCCCCACCATTGAAGAATTTAAAGCAATTACAAGGGAGTGATGAAATTTGCATTTACAAGTAAGAGTAGAGGGAGGGTTGGTGAGACAAGCATTAAAGGTTGGGAGGATGGGAAAGGAAGCTACTTAAAAGGTAACATCAATAGGATTTGGTGAATGATGGGAGGTAGGAAGTAAGGTGTCTACAATGGTTTCTTCTGGCATGAGTAATGGACTGCTGGTAGCGTCATTTACTGAGCTAAGAAGAACAGATTTTAGAACAGAGTTCAACCAGACATTCAGGAGGAAATCAGGAAATTGTAAGCAGTTAGATAAACCCACCTGAGTCTTACTACACATTTGGTAGTAAAAACCACAGGCATGAATAAAATTAACCATTAAGTTGAAGTGAAATTGTAATAGTAAACACTTAAGAGTGCTTGCTATATGCCAGGCAATGGTTCTAAATCCTTAACATAGTCATTTAATTCGTACACCGACTCTCTGAAGAAGAAAATTTGAAGAAAATCTGAAGAAAAGAGACCCACAGACAGAATCTTGCTAAGTATTAACATTAAATGGGAAACTGAAGGAGAGCAAAGCAGACTAAGAGGGCAGGAAGTAAACCAGAAGGATGTCATGGAAAACGAAAGAATTTAAGAAGTAGGCTGAGGCACAAGATCCCATGAAAAAATGAAGTGTCTGTTTAATTTTACTACTGGATTGTTGGATCTCAGTGAGAACTGTTTCTCTTAAGCCAGAATTCAGCTACGGAAGAGAGACAGCAATAGGCTATAAAACTTGTTGGAACAAGGAGACCACAAAGGTATGAAAGGGGGGGGGAAGGCGGAGTACAGGAGGAAGGCACCCCTGCCTCCTTCCTGAAACAGATGGGTAAGGACGGATGCCGGAGAAAGTAGATGTTCTTACAGCCAAGGGTCCAGAAATGGAGGGAGTTCATAGCTCTGGACCACCATATTCTCTATAAAGAGGTATACTGGTCATTCGGTTAAGCAGGGTAGTAAGGCTGGAACTGTTGCTGGAAACAGACCTAAGGAATAAATGGACAGACTGCTGATTATTGTTCACAAGCCCTAGTGAGGCTGGAATACACAGTGGCATTAAGCCATTGTTACAAGGTTCTTCTCCAGCATACCGGACACAAAAAAGCAAATGTTAAGTTACAGTGGTTTACAGTTTGGAAGGGTTGAGATTAAAAGCCGTACCACTGAGAATTTTAATCAGAAACACTCTGATCAGTATATACTGTCTACATCTGTTTCCAAACCTGGACCTTAGGTGTACTTAGAATTTCTGAGACAGAAAAATGTCTAGGTAGAGTGGTGGAGACACGCTAGGTAGTTCTGACTTCACCCAGTTAGAACCAACTAATAATACAGTGGTGAGGGGGGAATTATTCACTCAAAATTGAAGTCCCTTTAGCTGTCCTCCATAGCACATGACTTAGATTCTTAGCAAATATGTTACCAAAACCAACACATGTCCAATAAGTGTCAATAAGCTCAGCATTTGGAGAAAGGTGTAGGTATGGTATAAGCTATCTATTCTTTGCCCTCCAAAAATATCATGGAGTATGACTAAAGAAATGAAACTATAGTGCAAAAAAGAAGACAATTGTATTAAGTGCCAAAGAAAACTGAAATTTTAGGAACTGTCTTAAAAGTAGGTAAAATTTGAGCTTAATTCCCAAATGGGATAAGAATCAAGTGAGTTTTTCTTTGAGCTTTTATTAAAAAGTACCATCAGGTATGTCTGGAAAATTAAACGATTACAAAGGGTGCTATTATAAAAATCTTTGTCAACCTAAGTAGTGTCTGATCAAATGCACAATTGAAGGCCACAAAACATTAAGTATCAGTTTATTTAAATTTCTAAAAGATGTAAAAATAGACAACTTTTCTTTGTAGTAGAAAGAGCATTAAGATGTGGGGTCACAGGACCTAATTTGGTGTGAAATTAGGAAATGCATGTAATCCCTCTAGTACCTCCATTTCCTAATTTGTAAAAGGGCTAGAGTATCACTTGATCTTCTTAACCCTCAAAAGGTCTGTTTGAGAAATTTCTTTAAGTGTGGCCAACATTAAAATAATAAACTCATGGTAAGTAGAACATTATAGTTCATGATAGTAATTAGAAAATAAGTGGCAACATGCAGATACTTGCCAAATATTAATGTAATGGAACAAACAGAAGGAAAATTTTTTCACACAGTAGTTGGGAAGGAGAAATAAGACTTCTATACTTAAACAGTGTCTCTATACTAGCTTTTGAATATTGTTATAAATATCACCAGAGACCAAAACACAACATAAATTTCATTTCTATATTTCAGAAAACCTACTTGAATACACTTTGAAACAAGAGTACAACAAAATAGAATATACTTCAAATGTTGAATATACAAACTATTATAGTTCAAATCTGAACACTGGTACTTTCCCTCTTAAACTTCAACTAAAAAAAAAAAAAAAGGAAGGAAGGAAAAAAAAACAAAAACAAAAACACCAGGTATTAGAGCTACCTGACAAAAATTCATGCTGAGCCTGAACTTCCAAGTGACAGTAGAACTGAAACTGCTATGTCTGCACAGATGCCAGGGCTAAGTGAGTGACACAGGCAGGTTACAGCAAAAGGCCAGAGCCAACTGTTAATTTGTCCACAATTAAGAAACTGACAGACTTAAACTACCATATAAAATGTTACATGTAAATTCTATAACAATACTGTGCTAAGGTACAAGATTTTTAAAATTTTTCTTTTAATAAAAAAAGCTTTACACAAACAAGCCATTAGCTTATTTCAATAAAGAAAACTGAAAATTAGTCTAAGGCCTTTGTTTTAAATCAGCTTAAGCTATATGATATAAAAAAAAAATCGCACTAGGTCTTTTTTGCTATCCTCTTTCTGAAAAGCTTTTGGATCCATTTTCAATTCACATTCTAAAATACCTATATTAGCAGTCTTCACATAGCACCAGTTAAGTGAGTTCTGTGTGAACACAGTAATAATTGCTGGTATGCATATAAAATGCATCAAAAATTGCTCTATGTAACAATGAGATCACCCGTCCCAACCCCTCCCCACTGAAAACTATATAACCTCTTACAGAGTGTTAGTGTTCCAAGTCTTAGTGTAACTGGATATTGTAGTGAGTTGCTTGGTCCCTTTCAATCCTTTTCCTTATTGACGGGTTCAGTTGTTTCCTACTGTAAGAGGCAGTTTTCTGTCAGCATCTCCGTATGTAGTTCATTTCCCACTGAAACATGGGATAGGTAATTTATTTCCAGTAAGTCTGATTGTTTTCTTAGATGCATTAAAAATGTTTTAAAGTCTTCTTTTGACTTTGCTTGATGACCTCCCTTGCAAATATTTATGTTAGTACTATCACTAACAGTCTAAAGTCCACGGTAGAGCTGCTGTTTTATTTCTCACATGTCACTAGTCCTTCCGTTTTCATAGTTACAGGAAGGGCAATAGCTGAAGGCGCACTGACAACCACTACGTGGGTCACTGTCTTACTTCCATCTGCTGGTTTTTCTTCTTGTACCAGCTGCAAAGTTTTCACGTCATGTTCCTGCTTTTTTGCCACTGCTTCTGATTTGACCTCTGGCCCCTTCAGGACCGCACTGATAACTCGCGGAGGAGTCTGGCCAGACGCCTGTTGAGTAGGCACTGATAGTCTCATTACAGGTGTACCGTGGGCTATTGAAACAGGGGTAAGTGCTCTCACAGCCAGTGGGGTTCCAACAATGTTAATGCTTCCGGACCCAGTCAGATTTGACTTTGTCTGCAGCTGACACTGTGCAAGTTGTGTAGCTGGGATGGTGATAATTTTGGCAGGCTGCATGGTGATTTTGTCTCCGTTTTCAGAAGAGGCTGGCATCACAGTAGGGATCGTCTGAATAACCACCTTGGGAGAGGTTGCTGTTGTTGGACTAGTGCTGGTTATTAACGGTGCACCTGCATTAACTGACTGAACTGCCACAGTCGAGATTTTCTGACCCAATGATGTCATTACAACAGGTACTTGCATTGCCACACGAACTGTCCTAGTAAATTCAAAAAAAGTTGATTTAATGTTAAAGTAGACAATAGGTCTCTTGAGCAAAAAGATGAACACAAACCTGTAATGTACAAAACTAAGGCTCCCAAATTTTACAGGTGTACTGACAATTTAGAATATATGAAATATTGTGAAATAGATCTTAAAAACAAATGCCCACGTTAAGTTCCATCTACAAAACCATAAAAACAATTCGAGTTAGTTGAGATCTCTACTTTAACAATAACAATAAAATACATTTAAAAGATCAAACACTCTTCAAAGTCTTGACAACAGTGGATTTTTAGACTGCTGACATTAAAAAAGGTATATAGTTTCCTTCACTGACCTTGGAGCTGCTGTTGCTGACACAGACGCAGTAGTAGTAGGAGACCTGGATGGAGGATCATGACCAGGGGAAGTGATGTTTACAACTCTAGCTACACCCTTCTCTGCCCTGGAGCAGTTCAGAGATGAGTTTTTTCCACCACGAACAGAGGTTGCTGCTTTCAGGAGACTCTCTGCAGACAGTGACACTCGTTCTAAGGATTTTTCATCAGTAGCTGCTGCTAAATCTTCATTACAAGTTTCACTTTTGTCGTCATCTATGACCACTATGTTTTTGGGCATATCCTTGAACTGATATACAAGCCTCTGTCCTTCAACCTTTGCAAGAATACCCCTTTGGTAATAGTACCTGTAACAGAAACAGTACTAAATGAAGCAAGTGTATTACTACATCTTTTGCGCCCCCCCCGCCCCAAAACACCATGTGGAATGGACACTAACAGAAACATTCTCTTACTCCCGTTAGACATGAGAAGGAGCTCTTGCTGGCTGGGGATTGTTCAAAAGGCTAAGAACTTGGATAAGAATGAAGTTTGAACCTGGTGCCACAGTTCCTTTAACCTTTAGGTTTATAAAATAGCTACAAGTTCTCTAATTCAACCTAAATACCAAATACTTTACTGTATCTTATGACATCAGTAAAAATTCAACTGTGATTTACACAGGTTATAAAAACAATCTGACGTTATGTAGAAAAATTACTCAAGCGGTACTTAGTAGAGATAAATGCGGGATATGTGAATACTGTCATATAAACTATGTGTCCATTTACAAACACCCCTAATTAGAAGAAGCCATGTACACTGCAAAGTTTTGTGGGTTTCTCAAAATTTCATATTAAGATAAATCCATTATAACAAACTCATAGGAACTAAAAAGCTGTATTAGAAACTGTATTTCATTTGGGTTTAATTTCCTTAAAGGTCTTCAACTTCTCTTATTAAGGAAGAGTCCTAAGCGCAAAAGCACATTTTTCTGCAAAAATGCGTTTCCAGTGATGGCTGAAATTTTAGACGTCTAGACCAAAATCTTTCTCTCCATCTACCTCCAAACCTAAGAAACTCCTCTAGAATATCCCCCCAAATTAGAAGTTATAAAAAGGGGTTTTTAGAGCTTCTTTTTAAACAACTAATAGACAATACAGAAATATGTAGGTTTTATTTGAAAATTCATTCTCTTGTGTACCTACCTCAGAGCTCGTCCCATAGTTTCATAGTTCATATCTGGCTTGTTCTTATGCTTTCCCCAAAGTTTAGAGACAGCCTTTGAATCCACAAGCTTGAATATGCCCTTTTCTCTCTGAGTCCACTTAATATACCGAGGACAAGTATTTTTATCTTGAAGTAGATCTAAAAGAAACTCCCACAAATAGGTTGTGTTTCCTTTGAAAAAATGATAAGACACTGGTTAAAAATTCATTAACATAAGGCAAATATTTAGGGGCACTTAAGTGGCTCAGTCGGTTAAGCGTCCAGCTCTTGTTCTCTGCTCAGGTCATGATCTCAGGGTCATGAGATCGAGTCCCACGTTGGTCTCTGCGCTGGGTATGGAGCCTGCCTAAGATACTCTCTCTCTCCCTCTCCGTCTTTGCCTCCCCCCGACCTCCACTCACACCTTCGATCCAAAAAAAAAAAAAGGCAAATATTTAATTATGCTGGACAAAAATTCATTAACTACTGGTAAAACAAATGTCCCAAGAGTCTGTCATTAAGTACTTGACTATATGAGCAATCATTTATACAGTATCAAATTGTGTTGCCTAGTAAATTATATATACACTGTATTTCATTATAACATAATCCTAAATATACTTGTTTGCTGGTTTTCAAAAATAATATCCTATTTATGTTTACAGTTATGATACTAATGTAACAGAGAGGTCCTGGATTTTATACTATTATACATCACCCTATCCTAAATTTTGAGTTCAGTAAAGGCAAGGCAAAGGCATAATGCATAGCACAAAGTGAACCTGAATTAAACAGAATCCAATTTATTAATTTACACAGATCTAAACCATGAATAAATTTATTTGCACCAGTATGTTTATTATATGATGAGCCCCAATTTTATGATCAAAATTCATCAAAAGGCACTTACTTGTTGAAAAGGCAAGCAATACACAGTGAAATCTGCAAATCTTCTAAGATTTTATCTTTTTTACGTAATCTCCGCACCCAACACAGGGCTGGAACCCACAACCCCGAGATCAAGAGTTGCATGCTCCACCGACTGAGACAGCCAGGCACCGTGAAACTTATTTTTCTTTGATATATTTTCTTTGATTGACCTTTATGCAGAACTCTGAAGTACATGTCTTATAAAGTACAAATTACCCATGACCCCTTAAACATTATCTTTTCATTATCCTCTGGACTACTAGTCAATTTTCAATCAATGAGACCTACCTTCCTCTAAAAACAGGGTTGTTTTTTTTAATTGCTAATCTCTTTCTACTGACCATACCCAGTACAGTGAAGACAAGCAATGTATTAGGATTTCATTATACATGGACAGTTGAGTAAATACATTTGTGCTTCAGTATTAACTCCTTAAACAAACACTAAAAAGTAACATGGCAATTCCTTTAACTAGTCAAGTATTCATCAAATACTAACTATATAACATTTGATCACATGACTAGCAAAATTTGAAAATGAGCTATTTCTGCAGAGTAACATAACTATTCATCATACACTATGCTCCTTAAGTGTAGTTGAGGATACAGAAGAGCATTTAAAACTTGGTCCCTGCTTCAAGGAATTTACAATTTAGTTGGGAAGGGAAAAGTAAATGACAAGTTAATACAAAAAAGAAGTAACAGTTTGTGAAGCGACACAAGATCACAAGGCAATGCATAATAATATTCCAAATGAATGACAGAAAATGTCTGAGATTTCAGGAATAAAAATAAAGTGGATTGGTAAGACAGAAGACTTGGAAGATGACTAAGATTTGCATAGAGGAAAAGGAGGGAATCTGGGATTCAGATAAGGAACTTAATCCCCAAAAGAAGAAAGCATGACTTTTTTTTCTTTCTTTCCCTTTGGAGAGTGGAGGATGGGCAAGTAGTGGACAGTAGTTATGAGGAGATCAGGCTTTTCAGAATGCTGTTTTTCTTTTATTCCCTTCATAAAGCCTCTAGGGCCAAAGATTCTTAAATTGATCAAAGAACAGAAAAGAACCCCGAGAAGGAGAAAATTAGAATACACACACCACCGAGTCACCAGGTCATCTCTAGGCTCCTGCTCACTATCCCTTTACTATCATCAAATCTAGATCCAAATTACAGGCTTCATGAGAAGAACCTCTAAGGGTAGGAGGCTTCCAAACTAAGCTACTGCTACTCAATCTAAATCCTGATGCTCTTCCTCGGGCATTTCATTTTCATTCTGGAATTATCTGAAAATTCAGTGAATTTGTTAACCCATAGTTGAAACCAGTGTGCATCTTTTAACCTAAAAAGGTTAACCTTCAACTTCACAGTGTTCTATCTGCGTCTCTGAAATCCCACTGCATCAGCATCAATACTTTGTAAAAACTCTTACTAGTAAACCATATGTAACTTTCAACTACATTAAGATAGGTACTTGGGGCATTTTTGTGATCAGGAGATTATCAGGCCCTATGAGTGGACATAGTAAAAGTGAGCTTATTGTGGAAGAAACTTCTGAATAATATAAACAATGCCTTATAACACATAGTAGGGATTTGAATGCACCCATGTTTGTGGAATGAGACTCAACATCATTCCTCAGGTTGTCTTTGGATACTCACTCCATCCCAGTTCCCATCCTCAAGTTAAAACTGAAAAGTTCTAAATCTCACTTTAAGGAAAACATTCAGAAAGGGAAGCCGTCTTTATCACAGACATTATCAGCATTTTGTAGAAGTACTTTATTTTTTTTTTTAAGATTTTAAAGTACTTCCTACACTCAACGTGGGGCTTGAACTTACAACCTCATGACAAGAGTCAGAGACTCTACCGACTGAGGCAGCCAGGTTGCCTCCGACTGGATTTTTAATCTTTAATCTTCATATTCAACACTTTGCCTCAAGTTTGATAATAAAAGACTGAAACCTTAATAAAAGGTGATTTTGATTGTTAAAAACAGGTCATCACAAAATTTTTCTCTAGTGTTAAGCATCAGGTCTTTGAGTACAAGAGACCACTGATAATGGGAATTATTTAAAAAACAGTAATAACTGTATTTACAGTTTAGCTTTGTAATTTTTAAAGTTTTCAACATAAAAGACAAAACCTAAGATGTTAGAAATGTAAAATGACCAAAGACAGACAAAGAAATAAAAGTATCCTAAATCTGTCCCAAATTCAATTTCTCAGTTCCTGAATAAATAACAGTTCAATGTAACTACATTTTTTGGTCTAAATTTCTTAGACTTACTGGAGAAAAATTTTTTTACTAGAGATTTAATTTTTGCTCTATTTAAAATTTGTCATGTGACAGCAGAAAATAAATAAAATTAGATATAAGACCACCTGTTGAAGATGGAATAAATTTTAATATATTAATCCAAAATGTATCCAACTATTAAATATTGGTCTGAAAACATTCATGGAAGTGATAAATTCTGGTTATCAGATTATCAGAACACACCTAAAACCATGATTAAAATGTTACCTGAAGTCATCTAACAAGAGCGCAGAATGTAGGAGGCTTCTCATTAATTTTTGTTTTTAATGAAAGTATACAAATTCTAAAGCAAAAATAGGGTTTTTGTTCTGACCTGACATGACTGAAATTGGTTGACTGGGAAATTAAATTCAACTTGCCTTGAGAATTCTTGCATTACTTCTATCACTTAAGAAATTATGTATCAGAAATAAGTCTTCGTTATAAAGCCACCCCTTCAGTTCTAAGTGGCTCTATATGAGGATGAGTACTGTTACACATACATACCTCCCCTAAGAACAATGGCTCTTAAGAAGGCTGTGCATCAGACTGCACTTTTTAGATGACCTTTTCCAAACACAAATGCCTACTGCCTTTTATTCCCCCTGTAGCCTCTATCTATGGCTATAGAATCTCAGTGGGGTACGAACTGGGAAGAAAACTCCCCAGGCGATGCTCATATAACCCTGATTAAGACTTACTACCAAAGACAATACTTCCACCTGTACGTGTCCTAGGACTCATTTTCTTACAAATGCAAAAATGTCAACTGAAAAAAAAGTCATCTCACCTGCAAAACAGCCCTCCCCAAATTACCTTTTCCTTCTCTGGGTTTCTTCTTTATACCTAACTCAGGAGACCCATTGGAGATTGGTGATTGCTGGGTCTTTGGTTTACGGCCAACTGAAAAAAAATAAGATTGAAACCATACATTGAAAACAGGAAAAATAACAGAAGCATGATTAGCAGACTCTTTGATAACACATTATTCATGAAACTGGACACTAATTTGTGGATTAATATACTGAGTGTATATAAAAAGCTGCATTTAAAAGGAGCAATAAAAGCACTTCTGCAATTTTAGATTACAGCAGTTAGCTGGCAGTAATTTCAGTGTATATAGCAAGTCAGGTACTACCCAACCTATTATTTACTCAGTCAGAGTCTCAATTTGCTAACCTCTTCCAATAATGCAGCAGTGGAAACAAATTCTAGTACAAACTTTTTTCTCTTCTGTTCTATAGGACTGTTAGAAAAAACTTTACCTACCTATTGCAGAGGATCTGATAATCTGCGAAGCCCTTTGAGCTCAAATGAGGAAAAGTAAAAAATATTATTTTAAACACACTACTGCTCTGAGCCAATCCATTCACCAGAATTTAAGCATAAGTGTTCAAATTTCCCCACCTCAATGTGCAGGTACATTATAAGGATAAAAAAAAAATCTTTCAGTTAATTATTTCGTATGTCTAGTAAGTGTGCCCTTCTTTTAGCTTCTCTTCACTTCCACCAAAAGGTGCTCTCAGACAGACTAGCATCCACAATGAACAAAAAAGCAAGAGCTATACTTACACTAAAAAAGGCATAAGGCTGAAATGCATTGTTTTCAATTCTCAGCACTGATAAAAGAATGCTGGCAGATGAGGGGAAGCCTCCAGAAAGGCTGGGAAGTCAAGTATATTATAATTTGCAGATTAAATATATTATTACTAATTTGGTGATTGTCATACATCTGGGATTTCTGATGTCACTCTGGTCTTCACTAGCAAGGATTATTTAGAGCTTTAAAATAAAGACTTAAAAATCAAAGTGTTTTAATTTATTGCAAAATACAGAGCTATTATATTCTAGGATTTCATTATGGTAACTAATCAGTAAGATGTGTGTTCTGGCAAAAATTAAAAGGGAAAGTTCACTGGTCTCACTAGAACAGAGAGATTAATCTCTCAATTTAAATAATATTTAGAATACAATCAGTAATAAGACTCAAACAAAAACAAAAAAACCTCAACTTCCTTCATCGAAATGTTAGCCCAAAAAGGCTTAATTTATTTTCATATAAAGCAGTACTTCCCAAATCATTCTTCTTAATAGTTTATTCATCGGTCAGAAACAATGTTCTACAGTCAAATTAACTTTTAGAACACTGCATGTTACCTTCTCTTGCAGATTCACAACACACATTAGAATGTTAGAAGCTCTGGAAATAAAAAGAAGGCTCTGCTATTCAAAAATAACCTACCTTAGTATGTCCCAAATGAACTTAAGCATATATATTTATGCATTATATATAATTTTTAAATGGTCATTAAGATCATCTATTTTCAAATATATAAAATTAGTATTAAATTGGCAAATTATTTCCTGGTTTATATCATACCACATAGGCAGATCAACCTATTCATCTAGAGGTCTTGGTTCCCAGCTATTCATGGTCTTTTCCATCTTCTTTTAAATCTAAAAATTAGGGCACATGGGTGGGTCCTTCGGTTAGTGTCTGACTCCTGATTATGGCCAGGGTCCTGATCTCACGGTCGTGAGATCGAGCCCTGCGTTGGGTGGGCATAGGGTCTGCCTGAGATTCTTTCTCCCTCTTCCTCTGCACTGCCCCCTCCTTCCCGGCCCCTGCTTGTGTGTGCGCAAGCATGCGCGTGCGCCCTCTCCCTCTCCCTAAAAAATAAAATAAATCTAAACATTTTGTAAGTATTTTGTAATAGCTCCTATCAAATACCACCAGCCAAAGGCTACAGTGGGGAAGTGGGTAAACATGGCTATTTATACGTATGCCTTTTGTTTTTAAACATTTAAACAGCAGGAAGTTAATTCTTTCTTCTAATTCTCTCATTCATACCTCTTGCAACATACACGTAATCTACCACATGAGGGAAGGCACTCAATCTTATTCTTCACTGTGTCCCTCACAGTAATGAGTACAGACACATCAACATCACAGCAATTTGAAATAACTCTAATAAATGAAAGGAAATACCATTATTTCTTTTTCTTTTTTTTTAAAGATTTTATTTATTTATTTGACAGAGAGAGAGAGAGGGAACACAGCAGGCGGAGTGGAAGAGGGAGAAGCAGGCCTTCCGCGGAGCAGGGAGCCCGATGCGGGGCTCAATCCCAGGACCCTGGGATCATGACCTGAGCCGAAGGCAGACGCATAATGACTGAGCCACCCAGGCGCCCCAAATACCATTATTTCTAACACAAGTTTTCTTATTTTTGCCTTGATTTCTTCCTACTCTAAAATGTAAAGAAAGAGATAGAGAAGAAAGTGGAATTAGGTGAGTACCATTTATATAGAATTTCATTTCTTTCAAGTTTTACCTCTGATTCAAACAAGAAAAGGACCCACTTGCTGCCCATCTCCTAGGGATGTTGAAGATATGTGGGGCCTTGGGCCTCACCCACCAGGATCAGGTGAGCAGAAGTTTCAGCAGGAGTCAAATAAATAGTAAGTGGAAATGGTCTTTACCCACTGGTGAGGTTATTCCACTTAAAATCCTTATTGGCAATCTTGGTGTTTTAAGACAGAAGGTATATGGAACAAAAGAGTATTGGGCTTTTTATTTTAAGGCCCACAAAAGAGTGGAAAGATTAAAAATAGAGAAAATAAAAAAATTAAATGTTTTTTAAAAAATAACCAAGTACCTAAAAGGATCAGAAAGCAAACAAGTAGTGAACCTCTAATCTTCCTTCTGCTTGTCCAACATTTGTTATCATTCCATTTTCAGACAACTTTCTTTAGAGCTTAAATACTAACTCCTTTAAAACAGTATGAACATGTTAACACAAAATTAAAATCTCAATTTGTTGATTCTTTGAGAATACCTAGGTAAAGATAACATCAATCATAAATCTACAGCATATATTTCCTATGTCCCTTGATGGGGGAAAAAAAAAACACAAGAAAAAATTTCTCCCACTTTTCCAGAAATTTATAAATATACTCTACCTTTTTTCTTTTTCATTGGTTCATGGCTATCTGGTGATGTCGGAATAGGAGAGGTATCCATTGGTTCCGATTCTTCAGTTGACACCTCCACTACAGTTTCTGTAATGACATCTGGCCTCATAGCAGCATGGATAAATTCTGGAGTTGATACACAAGGAGGGACAAACACTTCCACTATAAAAAAAAGTCAAAAAATTAAAACTTCCCACCCCCATTAATACTTCTTCATGCGGACAATTCAATATTTAGTAGAGGTGAAGTTTATTAACAATTCATCAAAGCAGGGTAAGAGCCTAAAGTTAATTTGCTGAATACGTAATACAATCTAAAGTATGTAAGGAAATAAATGCAAAGAAAATTAGCTTGAAGGAAATGTTAATCCTGAAGGTAAGGTGGGGACCATGAGGAATTACACCCCCCTTCTTCACATTTTTACACACTTTCAAGCTCACTGTAGAAGACTTTGAATTATTTTGACAATTGGGAAAACATAATGAAAATAAGACAATAGAATAATAGTGACTTCTTCAGTAAATCCTTCCTGGTACCCATCAATATTTTCTAACTAGGTAATATATGTACATGGTATAAAATTTAGAACATTTAATAAATGTGTGTGTCTTCAGTGAAAAGAAAGCACTTAACAGATCATTTCGAAATATGAAGAAAAGGAAAACCTCATTATAGCCCAATGAATATCATCTTTCAATATTTAAAATTTTATTTAATGTAACAGTCCTGATGTTTTGGGTCACTAAAACAGAAATAGAAACTGCCATTTGGTATTCTTTATATACAATAATGTTGCTCCAGCTTCCTTCCAACGTGCATGAATAATCAGAATATGACATTTCTATTTCAATTAAGGGACAGCTAATAATACCATTGTGGATTAATACATTGACCAATATGCCCTAATTTTCTTCTCATATCCCTGAATAATACTATTCTAATTAAAAAAAGTACAGTTGCTCTTGGTATTTATAAATCCCTATAAGAAGAAGGGCTAATATTATTGTATTAAGTCAAATTAACACTTGGACATTAGAGTACAAAATGACTCTCAAACGCAGTCTTAAAGAAGAAAAAGGGGGGACCAAAAGAAAAGGAAACTCCCAGCCTGAGGGAGTATGAGGAAATGGTAGAAGCTATCTCCTCTCTCCACCATGGAAGGTTCTCTGGAGCTACTGCCTATTTATCTCAGTCGGTTAAGCGGCTGCCTTCGGCTCAGGTCATGATTTCAGGGTGTGGGACCTAACCCTCTCCTTCCCACTTGTGCTCTCTCTTGCTCTCTCGCTCTCTCTCAAATAAATAAAATCTTAAAAAAAAAAAAAGGCAACACCTGGTGTTTCTTATAAATAAGTAAATAAAGGATACAAAGTAGTCATGGGCAGCAAATCCCCCAACCCCATCTGCCATTCCCTTAAGGACTACAAAGGTTTATAATTTACCCAGAGTTAAGGAAATAAGACATAACGATATAAACAGCAATTTAACAGATATTTTTCTGTCTATAGTGGGCATTTTCTGTTATCATTTGTTATAAAAAATTAATTATTTAAGACTAGGAAACTGACAAAGATCAAGTATTGCTGTCACAGGTATTCATGCATAATAAACCTTGAGAACAACAATAATCCTCATGTATTTAAGAAGAAACTTATTTTAAATATGCAAAGTGATAGCACATGTTTAATATAAAAAAGAACAATTCACATACCAGGACTTCTTGAATCCCTTAAGCAGGTAGGAGATTCCATATGAAGCAGGGCTTCAGCAGCTTCAATTGTCTTATCTGTACAGTGTGCATTACTGCTATGAACTGATGCTTCCACTGGGGGGAAATAAGTTCTACTTAATTAAAAATGCACAGAATACATTACTAAATTAAAACATATTACTCTATGAGAAACAAATTAACTCATGTGAATAACTCTAAGTCACTGATACATATTAGTCCATATAAATTATTTACAGAAATAATTTAAAAAACAATCTAGTATGTACACTCTGCAAAACAAACGTTGATTATAAAGCAACTATTGAGAATGATTAGAAATTACTGAGAAATTTCTGAATCTTATCCAAAGGAAAACAGAGACCCTTGAAATTTGAACCCTGTATCAATTTCAGGCAAAACTAACTTGGAGGTGGGGCGGGGGGAGGATGGTTGTAGATTAACAATCCTAGGAGGTCAATTATGTGTCTTGATATACAGCCACTAAAATCAAGGGCAATACCTTGCAGAATCAGTCAGAAACATGCATTTCCAAGTTAGTTTAATGAATTAGTTGGTTCTTACAGACCCTCCTCGGTGTGTGGACTAGCATAGCGCCAGACACCCGGGAACTCTATTCCCAGTAACCTTGTCTCTTCAAGATTTTACTGAACTTTTCTGTGTTTTACCCAATAAATTTGTTTTTAAAGTTTCTATGTTTGTTTGTTTTCCCATGAAGTCTTTTCTAATTCTGCCACCTTCTGTAACTCTCTTTTAGCACTTACTTTATGCTTTGCTGACTGAATTACTTGTGAAAAATAAAGTATACAGCAATTGTTTGGCTTTTCAAGTCCAACAGCTTGAGTCCTAGTCTCTGCTACTTATTTGTTACCCTAGACCAGCAATTTAATTTCTTATAAGGAAACTGATTTCCTTTTTTACAAAACAGGTGTATTACCTCAGATAGTTGTGAGAATTAAGTAAGGTGATACCCATAAAAAACACTGACAATGCCTAGCATATGGGTAAGAATTCAATAAATGGTGATAATTTCTTTTTTTAAAGATTTTATTTATTTATTTGACAGAGAGAGACACAGCGCGAGAGGGAACACAAGCAGGGGGAGTGGGAGAGGGAGAAGCAGGCTTCCCGCCAAGCAGGGAGCCCAATGTGGGGCTCAATTCCAGGACCCTGGGACCATGACCTGAGCCGAAGGCAGCCGCTTAATGACTGAGCCACCCAGGTGCCCCATATGGTAATAATTTCTTATCACTACTGTAAGATTATAAGTTCCTTGAGGTCAGGGGGGCTATCTTAATTCATCTTTGTATCTGCTATAATTCCCAATATAGATTTTTAATACAACAGGCATGCAAGTATTTCTTTTATATATTAAAGTTGGGGATAACCCACAGATCTTATAGGAAAATTGGCCATTCAAGCACAAACTTGTATTAATGATATATTAATTTCACATCCTAACTTAAAAATATTGAACATTCTACTTGGTTCTGAAACATGAATATATAACAGTTTCTAACTGGATAGATTTTTCTCAAGATGTCCTCTAAAAAGACTAAAAGGAAGTATTTGTATAAATTCCATAAGCTATATTACAAATTCAAAGTTCTACACACTAAAGATAGGAATCTTTTAAAATTGTTTCCAGGAAACTTTTAATTGAAAAAAAAAATTCACTTAATCTCAAAATTCACCAAATGCTAAAAGCCTTAGCCTTAAACAGCAGTCATTTGGAGAGCATTTATTAAAAAAAAAAAAAAAAAAAAATCCAGCGACTGTTTTACCACCTGTTGCACATCATCCACACTCTCAACCAAGGTACTGGGTCTCTCCAGTTGCTCTTTCCATTTATGGAAATCTGCTCAAAGCTAAACAGTTCCAGAGAGGCAGCCAAACCTCTAAGTAAATCTATCTTTAGGTGACCCTGCTTACTCTTATCTGCAGCTTCACTGAAGCAAGGATTCAATCAGTCCTTCTAGCTCAACTTTAAGAAACTAAGTATAAAATATATTACCATTCTCAAGTAATTTTTTCAAAGTGCCTTCCCACAATACCCACATATACTAAAGAACCTTGGAAAGCAAATTCTCAGGTTTTTAAGGAACTTCATTCTCTTTAAAGTCTACTTGTGTTACAACTTAGGTGTTGTCTTAGGTGCTATTAATAAACTACCCTGGGTAAACTAATTCCTTATGTAATTGTATTAAGACACACCCTAAAAACCTTACCATATTAAAATCAGAGCTTCAAAGACTTGATAATACAGCAATAGAATTTTACCCAATTTTTTAATGTTTTCAGTTATAAACAAAATGAAACGTGCCTAACAATTACAAATAATGCTGCCCTTTTTACGTAGTTTGAGGCACATTTTTAAAACCATGATTTCATGTTAGTTATGTCAGTGGAAACTATTTTTCTCTTTTTTTAAAGATTTTATTTATTTGACAGAGAGACACAGCGAGAGAGGGAACACAAGCAGGGGCAGTGGGAGAAGGAGAAGCAGGCTTCCCACGGAGCAGGGAGCCTGATGCGGGGCTCGATCCCAGGACCCTGGACCTGAGCCGAAGACAGACGCTTAATGACTGACCCACCCAGGTGCCCCGGAAATTATTTCTTAAAAGTATATTTTCTTGCTCATATTTCTGACCTCAAACTCCCCTTTCTCCCAAATTCAACATATTATTTCCCAGGACTGTTTTACATTTACAGAGTAAAACAAAACACAAACTTAAGAATAACATTAATTAATTCATATTTTAAATTTAGGATGAGAATATCAAAAATGCATACGTTTTCTGTGAATTATCAATCAGGAGAGATCTAATGATCTATGTACAGTCAACATTTGGTTGTTGAGCATTTACCATATGTCAGACCCTCTGTTAGAAATCCGAGAGACAAATGTGAATAGATCTCCAGCCTTGTGAAGCTTATACTAATAGTTCAGAAACATAAATGATAGTATCAAAAACATAAATGGAAGTAAAACATTTCAAAACTAAAAAAAGGTATAAAATAAAGTTATTCTGTAAGCTAACAGCTTAAGTGGAGCACTGATTTCTCTATTTTTTAATGCTTACTAATTTTACTTTTTGTCATTTTTATTAACTAAAATAACTCAAAGCACGTGCAAATACCTAAGAGCTCATACTTAGATCAATTTTTACAACAGCGTACCTATCAGTTTCCAAGAATACTTCACCATTTTGGAAAAGCTCTCTTTTTTCTTTTGTTGATATAATTTTTGATAAAAGAAATTTAAGAAATATTTCTTATTCAAGTTTCTGTAATTTTTGAAAACTTTTCAATTCATTTGGTTCAGCTCAGTAATTCAAATACAATTTAAACAAGAATTATGCACAATTTTTAAGGATAAACATGAGTTTAGCAGTGTTGTACAATATAAGCAAATAAGCAAACTACAAGGGCTGAAAACTCCTTATCTCTTACTTAAAACCTAATTTATTATCTTTCTAGACATGTGTATGAAATTAATGGGACCAAAAAAAAAGCAACTCATTTTAAAAATAGAAACAATGAAGCCAAAAGTAATCTGACAGGTATCATTTTCTACTTAAGACTAGCACTTGGTGTTGCTAGTCAATCCCTCTTGAAGAAATAAACGTATCAAACAAATTTCAAAACAATTTTAACTTTAATCATAGTGCCAAAATCAAATTTGCTTATGCCCTCCTTTACTATTGGTAGGAGTCTTCTTGTTCCATTTCCAGCTTTCTAATCAACTGGTGTTTGTATGGTAGACTATTCCAGACTCACTCAACAGCTGTTACAAAATACCAAACTTGGTAATTAAGTCTGACAAGAGACATACCTCTCAGCTTTGCAGAAGCGAATGCTGGCAATGGACCTAGCTCATAACAAAGTTCTTAAAGTCAAAACTAAAAATTAATAGCAATTTAATTTGAGAGCAATGGAAAAAATTAGAAAACACTTCCTTAAATGATTGTAGTATGCCCCTACAAGCAAGACCATAAACTAGTAATACAAGGTCATCACTCAACCAGGCACCCGACTTACCTCAGCTTATCTTCTAATGCCCCAAGGCATAATAGGTAAGTGAAAAATACAAATGAATGCAATAAAAAGGGGGAAAAGGTAGAAGTCTGGGACACTCCATCTTTTCTTATTCCTCTTTGACTTTCTAATCAATAGTTAAATTTAAAAGTTTAGAAGAGAACAAGAACTAAAATTTTCTAAAATAGAGCTGCCTGATGAAAATATGTGAGCCACATTATAATTTTTAAATTTCCAAAAGCCAGATTTTAAAAAGTGGAAACTGAAATTAATGCCTTTCATTTAACCCAGTAGATTAAAAATATGGTCATTTCAACATGTAATCAATATCAAAGTTTTCCACAGCTTCAGTTTTTATGTTTAAATTAAAATTTTAAAAAATTAAAAATTCAGTTTCTCAGCCACTCAGTAGCCACATATGGCTAAATGCCTATGGTACTGAAAATGCAGAGTAAATAAAACTGTAATACAGCTACTCTCAAACTTTTTTGGTCAAAGGCAACTTTCATACTCAAATTATTGAGAACCACAAGAGATTTTGTTTATATAAGTCCTTTTTTAAATTTTATTCTATTTGAAACTGAAATTAAAAGGACATTAAAGTATTTATCAATTCACTTAAAGTAATAAACCCAGTACTTCTCAGTAGTATTTTAATGAAAAATAGCTTTTCTACAACAAAAAAAATTAGTGAGTAGCTTTCTTGTACATTTTAGTAAATCATTTAATACACGGTAGAAAGCAGTTGGATTTATTTAATTCTTCATTAAATTTGTTGTAGTATCAAGTCAGGTAAGCCTCTAGAAAACTCTGAACACTTGTGAAAGTGAAAAGGCAAATAATGTCTTAGAATTATTATGAAAACAATTTTGACTTCACAAGACTTGGGGGCTGGGTGGCATAGTCAGTTAAGCCTCTGATTCTTGGTTCTGGCTCAGGTTGTGAGATCTGCCTCGCGTTGGGCTCCACTGGGCTCCGAGCTCAGCGCAGAGTCTGCTTAAGTTTCCTTCCCTGTCCCTCTGCCCCTCCCCGCTGAACTAGCTCTCTTGCATGCGCTCTCACTCTCTAAAATAAATCTTTAAAAATAAAAAATGAATGCCATTCTTCCAGTTTTATTTCAACACATGCTTCATTTTTTCACATCCTAAATTGTTTTCAAATTGATCTTTTCAAGATTGATAACCAGATATTTCAATTTACAGTAAATTGGAAGATTTTCAAGTTCAAACTTCACAGTGAACTTTGACAAATCAGATTTGTTTTATCAGTGAAAATACTTAAGCTAAATTTCCAGAAAACTCTCTCCCTCCCATTTAATACCGGCATTAAAGTAGAACAAAAGTTCTGGTGACCATATCTCTCAACCCAAATTCTCCAATTTCTTAATTCTCAGTTTCTCAAAAAAAGAAGAAACAAGTCAAGGAGAGTATACTTGAGAACAAGAAGGCAGAATATTTTAAATTGAAAATCTTCCAAAAAACTAGATCACATTTACACAATACTTTCACATAACTAAGAAAGTAACATTGATTGTTCCTATAGACTAGACATGTTTTTCCTATGATTCGCTATATATATAAAATTAGCTATATATGTATCTCTTCATATATACATACATGAAGATGATCCTAAACTATATCATAGTCTCATTTAACATATAGACCTGGCCTCAAATTCAAATTTGGCACAAACATTGGCTAGCAGAAATTAACCTCCCAATTAGGTAATGACCTTACAGACATTCATTTACACAGTGCAAGGTGTAAAAAAAAAAAAAAAAAAAAAATCCAAGAAAGAAAAAAGGCTTCACTTTCCATTAAATATTTTAACTACTTATAATCTTAGAGTTATTAGAGATCCCCTAGTCAATCTTGTCCTCTTACAAAAAAATGAAACCTTAAAGAAGTAAAGTCACTAACTAGCACAGAGCTAGTTTAGTGACAGCGAGATGAAGATAGTCATCTCCTGACTTCAGGTTCAAGGTTCTTTCTCATACATCATGTTATAAGTGAAAGTTTTACGACATATGTCAAGTCTTCACCACAAAAATATTTTATACGTTGAAACAAGTGATTTTTAATAAACAAGCTTATTTATTTCATTCTTAACTCAGACTCCTCTGACAGCAAAAATGCTGATAACTAAAGCTGAAGTTGGTAACTAAAGTTGATAGTTATGCCTCAAAAGGAGGAAAATAAAAGCAAAAGTATATCCCCTACTACCTTAAAATATAACAATATAGTAGTGGTAATATTAAGTGCTTTATAATTGCTTAGAAACAACAGTTATGCTAACAATATTCAATTTAAAGCTTATCTCCTCTAGAAGTTTTCATTAATATCAGTCATTATACACTAGTCATCAACCCATTATAGCAATCACTGTAGTTACATTAACATTTATGTATTAAGTAGATTTACATCTGTCTCCTCAATTAGACTGTAAAATCTTTGTGAGGAAGAATTATGCCTAACACAAAATTCCCTCAAGGGAATAAAAAGGTATCATTCTATTTTACAAATATAAACTTCACAAACATTACTCTCCCAACATCACTGGAAACTGGCAGCAATATAATTTTTATTAATTTAGATCCATGATTCCTCATCTTGTGGGGATTCCTCCCCAACTTTTAACTCACTGAATAATCCTTGGGTAAATCCGCAAAACTGTCTCAAGTTTCCTTCTAAAATAGGGCTTGTAAAAGTGCTTCAGGTTACATGAAAATGACAGAGGAAATAATTTGAAGACAATTATATGTAAACATATTCTTTGCAGAACATTATAATCATAAAGGAAATCAATTGTTAGGATTTGTAAATGCAAAAGAAATGCTCTAGGACCAGAAAACACTTAAAAAAAAAAAACTTTTATCAAAGGGAGATAAAACTTGTATTTTCACCAAACTGTAAACCATCTATAGGTTTCCATTCCAAGCAAAATATCTACAGGTCACATTCAGCTTCGCTAATTCCAAAAGCTTATGAAAGAAATATCTTCCACTGGCAAAATTTAGCCCTCTAGACTTTACAATATTTTTCCAAAATTCTGACTGCAGGAGCTACACTAAGGTTCTCTTGTTATGTTCACAATCACTGGAAACATCTCTTGAAATGTTTAACACTCACAAAAATATCACTGACCCACACAATTACAGGTATTGTTAGTACCAATAACATAAGACCAAAAATTCCGTTCCTTAATTCATATTACGTTATTAATGGACTGAACATACACAAAAGGAACCAAGTTCTTATTTACTAATACTTAAATTCTTGCTCTTATCCGAAAATAACTGCCAAATGTGTTTCAATCACCACGCAGGAAACTGTGATTTTTCTTTGGGACTTTTAAAACATGTAATATTACATTTTATAGGAAAAAAAAAGGCTGGTCATTCATGTATTATACAATACACATATTATTCAAGACTTTATTTCAACTAAAAGTCCTGTTAAATTTAGCAATACGCGTTATGTTCATGATTTTCCCCAATCGAATTGAATCAGAGTTCCACCAACCAAACCACTAATTTCACGCTCCCAGAGGATAAGATCTCTTACAGCATTACTCTTCGGTGAATATTTCCCATATTTCTAATTCCCATAGTTGGCGATATGAAATAGAACCCGGGAAAAAGGAACATGTATGGTTATTACTGCTCTAAGTAAATAATATTCTAGCACTGCTACATGGATTGAGGGCCCTGATTGCGCTGTCTGCTATTAAGTAAAGCTGCTTTTTCTATGTAACTTAAGTCCGTGCCCTTCCGCTGCAGCAGTGGCGCTGCACATCCCCCACCCCCGCGGCCACTTCCGTGTTTACACTCCTCTTCCCTCCAATTCCATGCGTACATTGTCAGCTTCACTCCCGCCCAATCTTCATTGGCCCAGCGCGGGCCCAGAGTCCCGCCCCCAGAAATCAACGTTCTTATTTGGAACATCTGAGAGAGCAGATTGGAACCAGGGGCCTGTCAATCCCGACCGTTCTGTCCTCTCCGAGGCGCTTCCGCTATGGTGGGAGGTTTGGGGGGGAGGGGAAAAGGGGGCAATTCCGTGCTGAGACTTCCCTAGGGCCAAGACTCCCTCTCGCCCGCCCCACTCCTTCACATTCACCTACTGTTTACAAAAATAAACGTTCTTCTCTGATGCCCCAACGCTCTAGGTCAGGGGTACCAAATATATCCCGTGTCCTTCCCATTCTTCCCCCTAAAAAAACAACCCACGAGGGAAGGGGCATAAACCTACTTCTTCACAGCCACCCATTAAATGAGGAAAGGGAGGCGGGCCCCTGAGAGAAACATCCTCCCGGGCTATTACACATTATTCAGTGACCCTTTCCAGAACCGTTACTCCTGAGACTGCACAAGGTGGGGACGTGAAGAGGAGGGGCAGAGCATTTTTTTTTTGGCGGGTATCGGTCTACCGGACATGGCCCGGGGCTGCCTCGTCCACGCGGAAGTCGTGGATTTGCGGACCAAGTCTGAAAGGAGAACGGAGCGGGGGTGGCGAACGTCCACCGGAGAAGCCCGCCGCCCCCGACCGCGGGCAGCAGCGGCCTCTCCGGCCAGACAGCGTGGCAGGCGCAGCCAAGAGACAACAGCCTCACTCACTTCCTGGTTCCTCAGCAACTGGGGTGAAGCGCACAACTCGTCCGCCCCCGAGTCCCTAACTTAACTGCGGCTCGGTTCTCCAGCACCGGCTGCCAGCGCTCCGCCCGGCAGCTGCCGCCGCTGCTCGCCGCACACACCCTGAAGCGACAGCGCCAGATTCGAGGCAGGTTACTCTCCAAGGTGATCACTTCCTGATTCGTCGCCTCCATTACTTCATTCACTACCCCCCTTTCCCCCGGCCGCTCCACTGACTGAGGTGGACACTGAACCCCCTGCACTGACCGCCATAGGGGAGTCACCCCGCCTTCTGTGCACCCCCTCTCCTGCTGCACCGATGCACAGGAGAAAAGTTCCCCTGTCCTTACCAGCCCGGATGAGCAGATCCAGCTGGTTCGTGGGTCCCTCATGCAGAGACGTCGCCATGTTTATCCCGGGGCTGGAGCTGCTGCTTCACATTGACTTACACCGTGAGCAGCGGCGGCAGGGGAGGAGGCGGAACCCGCCGCCGGAGATACACGCCGTGCGACCGACACACACTCACGCACTCGCACACACTCAGACGCCCAGATCCTTGCGCGTCCTCCGACAGGAAGCCGAGGCCGGCCCGCCTCCCGCCGCGGGGCTGAGAAACCCCACCACCTAACGGCAGGGGCGGCGGCGGCGGCGGCGGCGGCGGCGGCGGCCGCCTCGGCTGGCAACGCGATCCTTCCGCCCCGCGCCCAGACAGGAAGTCCCGGACGCCCGCTCCGAAGAGCGGCCGCGGTCCACCGCGAGAGAGACACCTGAGGCTGAAAACTGCCCCGGGAGCCGCGGCCAGGACAAGGCCCCTCGGCAGGAAGAGGCACATTTCACGCTCTGCGGAAGAAAAGTCTGCAATTGTCCCCACTTTGGAAAAGAGCCATTAATCAAATTTTCTTCCTGGAAGAGATCTAATACCTAGTCCCACAGCTGTAAATAAAGGTGGCTATTTAACTTGTTTGGGCCGTTTCAAAGCTTATGCAACATGTAACCCGTCCACTTGAAAAAGCTGCACTTTAAAACAGGAATACCAACAACAAAAAAAGAGGCATACCTACAAAATATGCTAAAAGCTTTACTTGGAAAGTAAGGAGTTTGTAACTACTTTCAGAGGCTGACTTCGTCTTCTTCCCACTACAGAACTGTTAAAGAGAACACTAAACAGGTATTTATTAGTAAACAACAGAACATGCCAACCTCTGGGAGATTAGATTATCCTTCCCCAATTTGCTAGTCAAGAAATTCATGTACCCTTTCATTTCTACTTTGTTCGTTTGGAAACAAACGTATTCATTTATATCCTCTCCTTTTAAAAAATATTTTCATAGAAACTAATCTTATAAATACGTACATGCTAAAATACAATAGAAGAGGGGGATAAATTGCCATTTCGTGACTACAAATTTATTGACGACAGAAAATCAAACCAATAAAATGACTCAGATGAATCTTCATTAAAACAAATGCTTCCCTGGTCCAAAAGAGGTTTGAAAGAAAATGTTGCCCTGAAGTTGTTTCTACACATAATTTACATAAAATAGTGCCTTCTCCAGAGTAAGTGCTCAATAAGTATTTGCTAAATAAACACCAAAAAAGATTTGGTATTTACAAATTTAAGGTATAATATTTATGATCTGAATGGAACGAACTGTACTGATAATCTAGAAAGGAAAAAAATTTCCAGGGGTAATACTAATGTAATATTTTACAAAAGTTTGCCCAGTGTGTCAGTGCAATTTCAGAATACACATACACAGCCCATGACTTTTTTTCATTTCTTCTAAATACTCATTTATTCTCTTGGAGCTTTGTCCTAGCCCTACCACCATGATCCCCATCCTCCCCAAAAAGAACTTATATGCTGTTTCCAAAGTACAACTCCCCTTAAACTCAATAAGGATCTTTCTTGCATTAGGTAAACTTTCACCTACGGGACAGAAGGAACTATATGACTGGCAGCTTTTTAAATCTCTAGTCAATTTTAAAAAAGGGTCATCCATTGATAGGCAGCATCTTAACTGGAGACAGTTTCCAGGTGGGGGATGATATGGAACGCCAAAGAGTAACTGCTGGCTTTAGGCAGATCACGGAAATTGATAATAAACCTGAATTTCTACTCCTATCAATCAGTAGATTTTCATGTATTTAAAATGGAAGAGAATCGTCTTTTTTCTGGAGGCAACAGGTTAACTTGGGTCAAGAAGGCATACTCAACATACGAGTCATTTTGCAGCCTGATGTGTAACTTTTACCTTACAATTTGCTTCTTGAGATGTATCTTAAGTCAATAGTATGTATTTTATTCTTTGTACATCTTAATTATATGTATTCACCTCAGCCTTATATTTTAAGTTCCAAGAGAAGAGAAGCTATATCTATTTCTACCTAAGACTTCACTGTGTGTGTGTGTGTGTGTGTGTGTGTGTGTGTGTGTGTGAGAGAGTGATGATAAATCAATTCAGAAAGACTGGAAAATATTCCTACATATTTAAAGCTCCTGTAAAAACACAATTCCTTGGGCTTTAATGCACTTCTGCCTTGCTACCGAAACTAAGATTTCAAAAGCCACCAATACTTTAGAAACCAAAAATACTATACTGGAAATAGCAAGTAAGGATAAGCTGCTGCTAGAAATATAAGTTGGTACAAACTTTCAGGAAAGCACTGTGGCATTTATATGTCAAGAGTCTAAAAGAGGTTCATACACTCTGACCCAGGAGTTTCATTTCCTTGGCCTAGCCTGAGGAAATAAGACATTCAATGGATTGTTCCATTAAAAATGCATTAGAAAAAATTTTAACAACACAGTAAAATAGTAAAAATACAAATATGCCAAGATTTAAATATATATTTCTTCCACCAATATGACTCAAACCCTGTAGTATATGTATGTATATGTAATATACCGTATACATGTGTGTACACACACATTTCACACATACTCATCTGCATTTCTCAAGTCTTCAAGATTAAGCAGGTATTAATAAGCAGAATAAAAAACTGAGAACAGATAGGCTAGGATGGTAGACAAATCATATTACAGCACATAAGAGCAAATTCATATTCTGCTAATATTACAGAAAGATATCTCCTACATCAAAGTTACTGCTATATCCTAGCAGGGGGAAAAAAGATAAATAGGTAACTCTTAGTGAAATAAAAGCCACTATGCTAAATGCTTTACGTTCACTTTTTTCACATATTCCTCCCCCTCATTCCTATGAATTATATATTACTATTGCGCTCACTTTATAGATGTGGAATCTAAGGTTCCTTGACCAAGGTCATAGAGTTAATGGGAGGATTTGAACCCAAGCACTGACTCTAGAGTCCTTACCCTCAACTACTACCCAAGCACTAAAGTAACAAGGCCTTTTTATCTGTTATAATGCATTTAGTCCCTGTCCATTTTCTTGTCTGAAAATCCTTTTTTTTTTTTTTTTTTTTTTAAGAAAGAGTGCAAGCAGAGGAGGGGCCGAGGGAGAGGGAGAAAGAGATTCTGAAAAAGGCTCCATGCTCAGCCCAGAGCCCAATACCGGGCTCCATCTCACATCCCTGAGATCATGACCTAAGTCGAAATCAAGATTCAGATGCTTAACTGACTGAGCCACCCAGGTGCCCCTGAAAATTCTTTTATATTCCTCCCTTCAAGATGTGGAACCTAATACCCTTCTCCCTTCTAACAAATAGTATAAAGCTGAAGTGATGGTGTGGGACTTCAGAAACTGTCTGCTTGATCTCTTCCTTTAGGGTCCCTCTCTGAGGAAGCCAACTGCCATGTCATGAGTACACTCAAATAACTGTGGAGAGGCCCTTGAGGCAAGAAACAACGGCATCTTGCCAACAGTCTTGTGTCTGCGCTAACTAGAAGACGGATCCTCCAGCCCTAATCAAGTCTTCAGAGGACTGCAGCCTCACAAAAGACCCTGTGCTAGAACCAGCAAGTAAGCTACTCCCTAGTCCTTAACCATAAAAACTACAATATAAGAAATGGTTGCTGTTTCAAGCTGCTAAATTAGGGGTGATTTGTTAATCAGAAAAAGAAAATACAGAAGGAAGGCATTTAAACTCTCAACTTGTCACATTTCAGAGCTTAGATTTTAAAAAAGGATAAAGTTTAGAAACGACTTGAACTTTTAACTACAGTATCCTGAGCAGTTCTTTCCATTTCTTAATTCTTTATAGTCCGGGCATCAACTCTTTCATCCTCCAACCTCTCCATTTTGAAAATGTCTTTATAATATAATCATTATCATTAAAGTCTAATATAACAAAAAATAGATACCCTTGGCTTTTTGAATGATTTTATGGTTCCACAAGAACCAAAATGGAAAACATTCTTGAGAGATATTGTTTCCAATACCATATATGTTGCAAATGCTTTTATTTTTAGATTACCCAGATGATTTCATTTGTGTTTTCCATTTATCTAGTATGTGGAATCATAAAATGTTACGGATTGGAAAGGAGCCTAGAGACCACATCACCTAGAGGTTTTCAAAAAATAAAGAACCTGAATATCATGATCTCTCTTCCTGGCTACCCTAAATTAGATATATTATATCTTGAAAACCAAATATATAATTGTATGCTCTAATAGATGCTAATAAAAACAAAAGGCACAGGCTTTAAAGTTTAAAAAATATTACAGGCTGGAATCTAAGGGAGTAGACATTCTATGCATTAATATTATCTTCCTACAATTCAGGAGAAGGATGCCAATTTCCTATTTTAGTAATAACAGCTCTCTACCAATGGGAGAGTTATTTGAGAATCACTAATTTAGTCCAATGCCCTTATATTTTACATATGGGGAAACTGAGGCCCCAAGAAATTAAATAATTTGATCAGTCATACAGTATCTTATGATTTCAAGGTCAAAAATTCTACAAAACAATCTTCTATAAAACTTAGAAATTATAAAACAGACGAAAAGTTAAATCCATTTTACTCCAACTATATTTATAAACTATAAGTTGCAAAATGATTGATGTTTTGTTTTTTTAATGTCAAAAGCTAAAGCAATGGTTAATGTCTTTCTGACAAATTAAGAAAATAAATGAAAAAAATTTTTGAGCAGTGAATGGTGGGAGAACAATAAAAGGAGGCCAAATGGTCTAAGCTTTTCTGATACAACTGAACTAATAATGAAATTCAAAGTTGGGGTGTGATGTGTTGGACACGCTTAGGAGGAAAAAAAGTCAAGAAAACTAAGCTATGAGAAAAATATGCCTATCAAAAAAAAAAAAAGAAGAAGAAAGAAAAATATGCCTATCAAGGACAAACTGGAAATCAAGTGATTTAGGACCATTAAATAAAGCTTGGTTCATCAGCCTTGGAAGATAGACAATAAACGTAGAATCTACAGATTTACAGAGAAAAGATGAATTATTTCACGTGTTATTTTACTATTATCTATTTCAGTTTTTTATACTACTGACTTGTTTTATTTAATGTCAGGTTTTATAAAGTATTATTAAAATGAAGGTGTGTGAACCCATAGTCACATATTCATTCATTTATTCAACAAATAATTATCTAG